CTTCCCTCTCTGCCATGCCACCACGACACTTCCTGATAATTCCCAACAAATTGACTGACACCTCAGTGATTAAGATCCTGGTCTTGTAGAAGGCTGGCAGTTCCAGATGCAAGTACCATGCAATGGGGTGAGCTCCCATTACTTGCCCCACTCCTACCAATCTAGCAGTTGGAAAGCATGCAAATGCTAGTAGATAAATATAAACCACTTTGGTGGGAAGGTAATAGTATTCCGTGTGCCCTGGCATTTGGTCATGCTGGCCACATGATCATGGAAGTGTCTTCAGACAAGCTGGCTTCCTTGGCTAGGAAACAGAGCTGAGCACTTCCCCCTAAAAACTGGACACGACTGGACAGCTTTACTTTTATGATACCCCGAAGAATAAATAAATCACATGGGATGGATTTCCATCATACTCTAAGGCAGGGGTCTCCAACCTTGGCAACTTTAAGACTTGTGGACTTCAACTCCCAGAATTCCTCAGCCAGCTTTGGCTGGCTGAGGAAATCTGGGAGTTGAAGTCCACAAGTCATAAAGTTGCCAAGGTTGGAGACTCCTGCTCTAAGGAGTCTATGCTAAAATGTACAGTTCTCATCTTACAACCACAACTTGAACTAGAATTTTGATCACTAATGATGCAGTCATTATAAGTGAGTCATCACATGACTGGACCAATTTTATAACCATTCTTATTGCAGTCGTTAAACAAGTTGTGTGATCATTAAGAGTGGACAAATATAGTTTCCCCAAATGGTGAGCATTGCCTTACGAAGCTGTTATTAGAAAAAGTTTGGGAATTAAAAGTCTAGAAGGTATTGAGAGCAAGTTTGGAGGATCCAGGTTCATCCTCAAGCATGGAAATGTAGGTAAGGAACTGTCCCACCCTGATTGTATCTCTTGTCCTCTTATATCTGTCAGGAGATGCATGCTCTGAGTCCCATCAATCAAAGAGTGTCATCTGACTGAACCCAGGAAGAGACCTTTTTTTGGTCATAATATCTACTCTCTGAAACATAAGTTCCCTGGAGATCAGATTTTCCCTGAACCTTCCATAAGGCCTTGATGATCTGGGTTGTTGGGGCCTTTAAGATGTGGGAGAGCCTATTATATGGTTATATTAATTAGTGTGGGTTGTTTTTCCCCAAGCTGCCATATATTGTTATTTATAGTTTTGTTATTTTGCTTTTATTATGTTTTTAAGCATTGTTAGCTACCCCAAAGTCATGTAATTAAGAAGGTTGTATGTTCAACAAACAAACAAACAAACAAACAAACAAACTCAGAGCTTATACAGTGAGAGCTTATGCACTGGAGACAAATTTCTTATGTGTCCAATTACACTTGGCCAATAAAGAATTCTATTCTGTTCTGTTCTATTCTCTCATTGGATGGCATTGTGTTGTTCACTCACAGCACAACTTATTTTATATGACTGTTTTAGTATGAATCAAAAGGCAAAACATCTGGAGAAAAGGATGGGTGGATGGAATTGGTTGTAATGAATACATTATATTTGTACTGATGTGCAGGTATGTTGTCTGAAATCCACTGGCTACAAAAGTAGATATTAAAAGTACTTTTAAGATAATTTAAGATAATTGATTTGGATTGTGGCAACAAAATAAATGCAAATAACTAAGAGTAAAAGAGGGGAGAAGGAAGTAGGAAGGTTGGAGGAAGAGGAAAGGGGAGGAGAGTGGTGAAGGAGAGGAGAGGAAGAAGAGGGAAGTAGGGAAGAGAAGAAAGGGAGAAAGAAGGTAGAGAAGAAGGAGTGTGGATACGGTGAAAGGGGAAATGGGCGAGCAACACCAAAAGTTATGTGTATGTATTTATTTCATTTTGTTAAAAGTATCTGTAAGTGAGTGTGGAGGGAATGTATGTTAATATCTGATAAGTATTACGGTATATGTATGGGGGAGAGTTTGGAAAAATAAAAAATTATTAATAAAAAAAATAAGATAAATAAATGCAAATAACTAAATAAAGTCTGTAGGATGAGGGTGAATAATCTTCAGAACTATGCATGGCTCCAAAATTTCTTTTTTCACTCATTGGTGCCTTCTCTGAATAGCTGAAAACTCAGAGAGGATCTCTGTTATCTATTTCTGAACTGCTTTGTCCACTAGATGGCAGGAAGAGATTTGAGAAGTATTCCTGGGAATACTTTAAAAAACACACCTTTTCCACCAGATCATGGGTTTGTCCTTAATTTTAGACCTAAGAAGAAGACGCTTAAAAAATGTAAGTGTATATTTCATAAATCAAGGCAACTTTGCTGCATGAAAAGAATTGAGAATTCTACCAGCTGGATCTAGGAATTAGTGAAATTATTTGAATCTCCTCTTCTTTTTTTAAGAAAAACAAAAAGGTAGAGTAGTGTTTCAGAGTTAATTTCCAAAATGTGCTTCAGAACACGAACATAGCACCTTAAAATCTGCAGATTTTTCTGGGTTGCATGGCAAACATGAAGGTCAATCCAGGAGAAGACATAGCTATTTTAATGTTGTGTTAGAAGGAAAATTAGATCTGTTCTGAGCCAGATTTAAAGGAACACAGGACAAGCAGAGAAGAAAGTTATTTCTAAAGGCACAGTGCAAGACCAGCAGCTTGGAGATAGTCAGATGTGAATTTCCAGGAGCATTTTCTTTTATAAAGTGCCTCTATTGTTCCTTAAAAACATAAAAACCAAACCTTCCCATTTGGAATTCTTGAAAAATGCAATTAGCTGGCTGGACAAAAGGGGGCGCTCTGAAGTCAGACTCTGTTGGGCTTGTGGTTTTTGCATTTTGAATCAAGGTGATGGCCTTGCAAACAAATAATCTTTTGTTTATGAAATGGGAAAATCTCAGAGAGAGGGAAGTCTCTGATGTTTTCTTTATTTGAGTAGAATAATTTTGTTAATTTCAGCCTTAGTTTTAAATCGGTTTAAGTGTAATTTCTATTTTTTTGCTCCAAATTTGGCTCCAAGATTGGATGAGAAGGAGCAGTTTGAACAGCTGAAGATTGGATGGTGGAGAGGTGAGACTGGATTTCCTTCTTACAGCTACAAAATGTTGCAGATGGATGTATTGCATTCATGTTCTGGTTAAATTCCTATTTCTGGAGATAGAATCTGAAATGCTGCACTTCAAAAGAGTTCAAAAAAGAAAAAAAGGAAAAGGAAAAAATATCAAGGAATGGGGTCTAAATCTATTAATAAAAAAAGAACAATAAGAACAGAGCCAAAAAAAGAAACATTCAGTTCTAGTCCTTTTTTATGCTATCAATTTATGTTAAAATTGTGAAAGCTTTGGTTCAATAATTAACTTGCTTTGATATTTGATGTTTTCTCATCAGAGGCTTATTAATAATTAGGCAGGTGGGAAGGGGTTTCTTTTGCATAGTGTATTCCTTCCAGGTTGTGGAATTCAACACTTGGGGGCTCTTTTGCCTTTAGAAGAGCATCCAAGAGACAACTTTTATCAGTCCTTTGAAAAACAAGGGCTTTGCTTATGTTTTGATTTATTTTCTCTCTGTCTCTCTATCTCCCCCTCCCTCACACATTTTGGACAGAGAGGACTGCTGGTTTGAAAGAGGGGTCAAAGAGGTCATCTATGTCAAAACTGAACAGTCCAATATTATTTATCTTCAGTCTACAACACAGTCATTTCAGCAGTTCCAAGAAGGCTCCAAACCCATTTGACTACTCAGATGGCCCTGAAGACACAGATAAGTTTCCAGGTGGCCTCAGCAACTCTCTAAAAGAATGCAAATGACCAGCTGTCTGCAAGGAGTATAAATCTTTCCATTCCCCCATCATCCAGTCAGAGCTGAAGAAGCTCCTTGGGCGAGAAGTGAAATGTCTTCGGAGAGAAAAAAGAAAGTCCAGTTGCCTCATGAAAAAGCACTTTTGGAAAGGAGACTGTGAATTTTAGTCCCACCTTAGGCATGAAAGCCAGCTGAGTGACTTTGGACCAGTCATTCTCTCCAGCTCAACCCACCTCACAAGGTTGTTGCTAAGGGGAAAGTAGGAGAAGAAAGCACTGTGTGTATTCACTGCCTTGAGTTATTTATTAAAGTAATAAAGCTGCAAAGGAAGTAAGCAACCAAATGTCCTTGTGTCTCAATTAATTTTTATTAAGGTCACAGATTAGCATAACACGTCTTTGGGTGTGTGTTGTCAAGATATTACTGTTCACAGCATGCAAAGGTCCAGCAAAAGAGGCTCAGAATTGAATTTTATAGAGGCTCAGAAATGGAATAAGAACTGATTTCAATTTGTTAAAGTTGGATAAAGAAAATCTGTCCCCAATCCTGGCCTGGCAAAAACGTTTACTGTTTCCACTGTTCCTTTTACGCATTCTTTTTCTGTTATTGTTGTTCTTTTAATTTAATATTTACTTATTTATTAAAGTATATGTTCATCATGGGTTTCAGCATAGGATGTCAGGATATAAAACAATAAAAGTACTGAAACTGAATAATCATCTCATCATCAGGAAGCAGGGAAATTGGTAATTCTTTTGTAAACAAAAGTATTACAGCAAGTCCCAAAAAAGAATTGCAAAGTTGACACAGTTTTTATTTGTATCAGTCTAATACTAATCCTTTTCAATACTTGGTGCTAAATGTTAGAAGAAATAAAGAGAGAAACATTTACTAAAGGCATTGCTATTAAAACCTGGTGACAAGTTGTCTCTCCACCACTTTTCTATGGCAAAATTAAAATAAAATAAAATAAATCTAAGGCCAGATCAAGATTTTTGACACCCAGATCAGCTATAAACTGCAGCCATAGGCTTACCGTATGTATAGGCCTATTCCCAAGGTTTGGGAATGACAAAAAAATTGAAAATATTCAATTTAATTAACAGAAAACTGATACTTAAATAAACTTGAAGAAATTCTATAACTCAGAGAGAACTTTCTCTTGCTCAGCAACCCTTCTGAATGTATTTATTTGTTTAAAAATATATGCTTTTAAAACACACATGGAAAAGTAAGTTCCTTTGAAAACATGATTAGAATCATTCATTCAGTCTTTATTATTATAGTTCATAATATTTACAATTCTTGCTTCAAAATTTCACAAATCCTTCTGAATTTGTACAGGTAAAATCATGGAATCACAGAGTTGGAAAGTATCCTCAAGGTCATCCAGTTAATCCCCCTGCTCAGTGCAGGAATCAGTAGAGAATCTCAGACAGTCAGACAGTTGTTCAATCTCAGATCTTCACTGAAGGAGAACTAAATGGGTTTCAATGCAAAATACAGCTGTTCTATTTTTTCCGAAGAGCCCTCCTCCTTCCTGGATGAATGAAATAGGAACAAAAAGAAAGTAAGAACACACTCAAACAGATTACCTCAGAAATGGAACTTAACAGGGATGAAGGTGTTACAGAAATTGGCTTCCCCCAACACAAGAACACTCTGAATAAATCCTACATAGACTGATGTTGCCTCAGTCATGTCACCCTCTTGCAGAAAGCCATCCAAGCTTCAGCTATATGACTGTGGGCAAGGATCAGAATCCTATAGCAGCCATGGCACAATTTTCTACACATTTTTTTTTTCCTACAAGGAGAGCTTCACTTTCATAGTCAAGCAGGTATAGAAGCAGCTCGAAATATTTTCCTCCGAAATATACAACAATTGAATCATTGCTGGTTTTGAAAAAAGTAGGTGTGTGAACAGGCTATGCTGCTAATTCAGTTGTCTATTTTTCTTGGCTAGTTGTTCAATCAGGCCCTTGTCAGACTTTTTCAAATTAGGGTTTTATTGAAAAACATATATGTTCTTCCTTATTTGTATTTCATCCCTTCTCCTTCTATCGTTGATAAAATATCAGGTTTAACAGGTTGCCTGGCAGTGGAGATAATTTGTTACAATAGACATTATATTTTTTTTTAAAAGTAGACTATATCTCCATTTAACATATTGTTGCCTATTAAATAAAAAAACTTAAAAAACTCTAGCAATCGAGAACCTACAAGTGTTAGAGATAAATCGCACTTCGTGGACTACATAGTTTTAAAATGAAATAAAATCCAAAGCCACTGGCCAATATCTTTTCAGGAAATCCAGAGTTCAGTCTGGTATTTCCAGGTACAATGATATTTCAATTGTATCAGGATGGTTGATGCTATTCTAGCACCACTAAATTATCCAATTTAGTACTATGATGGTTAAAATGATAACTCCTAAAGATTTTCTTCCTGTCAAGCAACATTTTCCATAAATTTTCCTGACATGGTTAATTGCTGAATTGATGGAAATATCTTTAAAGAAGGAGCTAAATCTAACCGTTATTCCGATTCTGAAATATACTATTGGTTTTGTAGATTGTGGATAAAAACCATTTTTGATTTTCAATTTTGTGGTTTTTTGCCAGACACTGAATTTTTAAGCAAAAGAGTCACATTAGCTGTGTACCTCTGTAGCATATTTCAAAGTAGGGAAAATATTTTTTTCAGTGAAGTTACCATATAAACTCTGAATTCCTCGCCGATCATCATCTGGAAGACGAAAGGTGTTTGGATTCACATAGGAATAGGTAGGGTACATCAAGGCTCCACGGACATTAGTGTGAGCTAGTCCCAGGGAATGCCCAAATTCATGGGCAGCAACAAGGAAAAGATTTATTTCTAAAACACAGAAAATAAGTAGGTGAATTATAAGTATTAGTCATTCAGATATATGCATATACAGTCATATTCCGTATGTCAAGAAAGCTGCATGAAGTTGCAAGAGTTGTGCTTTAAAGAATATGGAAGAATACAGGTAATCGTTGACTTATGTCAAAGTAATGATTTAACAGCTAACCAGCTTATGTAATGTAAGATGTAATGATGGGAATGACTCAGCAGGGTTTGTGTCTCTTTAAGAGCCAGCAGGGTCTGTGTTTCTTTAAGAGCCTCTGTATAAAAGGGAAGGCTCCGCTGATGTGTTCTCTCTCTTCCGTTTCCTGCTGTAACTGTGGTTTGTTGGATCCTGCTGTATTAGCATGTGTATGTACATTGTTCCTGGTGTATGATATTATAGATAATGTAAGATAAACCACCATTTACTATAGACCACTGTTTACTGTGTTTACTCCTGGGTTATCTCATGCAATAAGACTGTGCACGCTCTGACAACTTACAATCACAACTGAGCCCAAAATTGCTAAGTGAGACATTTGTTAATAAATTTTGACCCATTTTCTGACTTTTATTGCCACTTTTATTAAGTAAACCATTGCAGTTGTTAAGTTAGTATCATAGTTGTTAAGTGAACCTGGTTTCCCCATTGCAAAAGGGACACTGCAACTGCTACAAATGTGAACCAGTTGCCAAGTGTCTGAATTTTGATCATGTGACCAAGGGGATGCTACAATAGTTGTAACTGAAAATTGGTCATAAAGTCACTTTTTTTAGTGCCATTGTAACTTCGAACAGTCACTAAACAAACTATTGTAAGTTATAAAACTACCTGTAAATAAAAGTACATTTATAGTCATAGCTAAATGTCCATGTAGTACATATGCAACAAAATGTATTAAAATTATAAAGCTAGAGGCCTTCCATTGTGAAAATGATCAATCACATTCCATTTAAACCATGAGTTTCCTTATATGAAAGGAATAGATTTTATCTTTTTAAGCAACTGGTTGCTTTAACATTTGACAGCACTGAACCCCATGAATCGATCATTTATAAAACAATGCAATACAGGCTGTCCTTGTTGAATGACCACTCCTTCGATGACCATTTGAAGTTATGGTGCTGAATGCAGGAGTCTTACGGTGCTTCCTTTGAATTGCAGTCATTGTAGTATCCTTACCATTGCAATTCAGGAACTTGGCAACTGGCTTGCAATTAGAACATTGCCACTTCTTGCAGATACATAAATCCTACTTGTGATCCTCACTACTGGCTTTTGACAAGCAAAGACAATGGGAAAGCCAGCAGGAATTCATAAATGGTGATCACATGACTGCAGGATGCTGCAGTGTTACATCAGAACTCTGCAGGACTTGCTTAATGACAGCAACTTGTAAGTTGGCATGCTAACAACCATGTCACTTAGCGAAAGAGTTTTCAGTTCCAATTAAGTGAAGACTACTGTAATTTGGGATATATTGTTTTTTTAAATTCCCATGCAACACTTGATGTAGCCAGTGAAAGTGAGGCAGGTATATAGATCGCATAGCAGAAATCAGGTACACATATTTTTATAGCAAACCTTTGTTAATTTCTGACCAGGTCTCATCCTCATCAAAGTGAGCATCACCACCTAGGCCTGTTCCAGGAACAAAAGCATGTGCCAGGACTCCACCTCTTCCATCAAAAGGAATATTGTCACCATGCTCTAAACGGAAAAGAATCAAAGTGGCAATCATTCACTGAAATTAATTGCTGTCATCAGCAATACCAAGGATTCATGGCTATTTTATTAAAAAAAAATCTGTGCAAATTTCCAGTGAGAACTGCTTGTTAACTCTCCTTCGCTATTACCTTTGCTTTTGTTCTTTACTTTTTTTAAAAAAAAATGTTATAAATTAAAAAGCAATTAGATATATAACTTTTCCCCTAGGACTGAGATGCTATTGCCAGAAAGACAAAAACAAACAAAGAAATCAGAGAATGATTGTTCCTACTTTCTTTCAATTCTGACCCAAACAATTTGCCATTGGCCTAAAATAGGGGTGTCCAACCTTGGCAACTTTAAGACTTGTGGACATCAAGTCATGGAATTCCCCAGACAGAACATGACCACTGAAGTAAAGACAAGGACAGAGAAAGCTCGAACAGCATTCTTCAAAATGAAAAAGGTCTTCTGCAGTCACGACATAAGCCTAAGACTGAAAATCAGGCTTGTCAGATGCTATATTTTTTCTATCTTGCTCTATGGAGTAGAGAGTTGGTCTCTGACAGAAGGCCACCCAAAGAGACTAGAAGCATTTGAAATGTGGATTTACAGGCGGCTGTTACGTATAAACTGGGTTGACAAGATCAGAAATGAGGAGGTGATAAGCCGCCTGGGAAAGCCAAGGAAAATCATCAAAACAATTAAAAAACGAAAATTAGAATATTTCGGACATGTGATGCGACACCCAGAAAAATACGGCCATTTAATCCTCCAGGGAAAGATTGAAGGCAAATGAGGTCCAGGCAGAAGAAGAAAATCTAAGGGACTGGTTTGGACAAAACTCAGCAGCACTTTTTCATGCGGCTGCTGACAAAAACAGGATTGGCAACATGATCGCCAATGTCGGATAACAGATATGGCACAACAACAAGAAGAAGAAGTCTAAATAATGACATCTGAAGGAATGTGATCAGCAGAAAAAAAAGGTTGCTCACCCTAATCAAGACAGCTGCTGCAACAACTGCACAATCTATCACTTGGGGCTATTTCATGGGATGTTTTATCACCATGTCTTTCTGGCATGGATTCACCTATCAAGGCTGATTAATGGGCCCTCCTGCAGCATGAGAATGCGAACGTGGAGAACTAAGAATTCTCTAATTGCTGGGTTTTGATTTGATTTTAAAACTTCTGTTAGTTATCAAAGGATGTGCCAGTTGAAGCATTTTTTTTTCCAAATTATCTATACAAATTGTTATGGAAACCTAGGAATACACAGTTTGATTCACTTTACACACATACCACAAAGAGTAGCCACAATTACATTTTCTTGGCTATTGATCTGAAATTTGCTCAGTTCCTAATGCAGATTGTCCTTATATATAACATGCAGCTTTAAAGTTTAATAGTAACGTAAGCATGAAGAGTATATATGCTTAAATTCATTAAATCTTTTCATAAAATAGATCAGGCTGAAAAAGAGCATTTCAGTAACACTTGTATAATGCACAATCCATACCTTTGCATTTGCTTAACTTCAGTATACAACACTCACAAAATACAACCCAAGAATTTTAATTTCCATAATGAGGGTGTTTTTTTTTAGAAAAAATGCAAGTTCACTTATTGAGCAAGTAGCCCAGATACTTCTGAATAATTCTCATGAGTACACTATTCACATACAAACATTTCTATCTGTATGAGTCAGGTGATTTAAGGCTTGCAGTTTTAAACCAGCATCTACTTCCACTTTTCCCTCATCCTCATCTACTTTTATCCTTATTCCATCATCTTATTTTGACCAATAATGGAACTAACCCATGATGGAACTAACCCATAAAAAATTGAAAAATAAAATAAAATAAAACCAAGCCAAGTGCATCTTATAAAAGGAACTAGCCGATCTTTGGACTTTCAATAAGACTCTTGAAATGTTCAAAGCAATGCTACTCAAAATGATCCCATTTTATCTTGCATTTGGAGCAAAACATATGAATTTTGAAATATTAAAAAACTTTGGCTTTCCAACTTTTCTACATGCTTAATTGGTGTATGCAGGACCCAGTTTTAATTAAATAATAATAATATAATAATAATAATAACAATAATAATAATAAAGTTGGAAGGGATCTTGGAGGTCATCGAGTCCAACCCCCTGCTCAGGCAGGAACCCTACACCATTTCGGACAAATGGCTATCCAGTCTCTTCTTTTTTTTTTTTTTTTTATTGAAATTTTTCAAAAGTTTTACAAATAAAAATCCACCCCCCCCCTCCCCAACCACCCCACCCCCCCCCGACTTCCCAGAAATGGATATAGGATTATTTAACAAATTTTTTAAAAATAACATTTACAATTTATAAAATAGTTAATAATAATGATTAAAAATCACAATAATAATATATATAATAATAATATGCATAACATAAACTTTAAAATAAGTAATATATACTAAGAAGAAAAAAAAAAAAAAAAAAAAATAAAAAAATGAAAAAAAGAAAAGAGAGAGAGAAAGAAAAAGGAAGAAAATAGACGAAAAATATATATGAATAATAATACATAAAAATTATATATATATAAAAAGGAAAAAGAAGAAAGAAAGAAAGAAATAGCATTCATTACAAATTATGAGAAAGCTAAATAATATTTTTCCATATCCAAATTATATTGTATGAAATTTATCCATTTTTCCCATACCGCAAAAAATTTTTCTTGAGATTGCTCCTTTAAGAAAGCCGAAATCTTTGCCATTTCTGCCAAATACGAAACTTTGTAAAACCATTCTTGTAAAGTAGGCAAAGATTCCTTCTTCCAATATTGTCCTATTAATAGCCTAGCGGCTGTAATCAAATTTAACATCAATGTAACCTCTTTAGCATCACAGTCAATAACAATACCTAATAAAAATAATTGCGGCGTAAATTTTACCCTCCTTTTAAAAATTCTTTGAATATTCCACCATATCTTAATCCAAAAAACTTTTATATGTTTACAGGTCCACCAAATATGATAATAGGTAGCATCCAAGTATCCACATCTCCAACATTTCGGCTGTAGATTAGGGTACATAATGGACATTTTCTTTGGGTCAAGGTGCCATCTATAAAACATCTTATAAAAATTCTCTCTTAAATTTTGCGCTTGTGTGAATTTAACATTTCTTATCCAAATAAGTTCCCAAATATCCATTGAAATCGTTTCACCAATATTCTGTGCCCATTTAATCATACAATCTTTAACTAATTCAGGTTCTGAATCTAATTCCACTAAAACCCCATAAACTCTCTTAATATGGGTTGGCCTTTGGTCTCTTACTTCTTTTAAAAAAATTCCATCTTCTCTAAGCCAGCCCATTTTACCATCCATCTTCCATCTATCCACTATTTGTCTATATTGGAACCATGAATAAGTTAAATTTTCATGTGTTAATTCTTCCAAAGATTTTAACTGACAGTCTTGGCCATCCCATCTTAGTAACTGTGCGTAAGAGACCTTATCCATATTTACCCCTTTCCTTATACCTTCTATGGCATGCCGAGGTATAGCCCATAATGGTATTTTGAAGTCACTTTTATAATACTTTCTCCACACTCTTAACAAAGAGATTCTTATAATATGAGACTTAAAAACCCAATCCACTTTTTTATTAAATATTAAATAGGCATGCCATCCAAAAAGTAGGTCCCAGCCTTCCAAATGAAGTATTTCTATATTTGTTAAATTCACCCAGTCGCTAATCAAAGTCAGTACTACAGCATCATAATACAATTTCATATTTGGCACCTTGAGTCCACCTCTCTCACGAAAATCTTGCATTATTTTAAGTTTCACCCTTGGTTTCTTCCCTGCCCAAACAAATTTATTAATACCTTTTTGCCATTCATCTAAGTTACGTTCGTTCTTTAAAACAGGTAGCATTTGAAATAGAAAAATAAACTTTGGCAGGACATTCATTTTAATAACTGCAATTCTACCCAAAAGGGATAACTGTAAATTATTCCAATTTTTTAAATCCTTCTGTACCTCCATCCACAGCTTTTCATAGTTATTTTTGTACAATTTTACATTAGAAACAGATAGTGTAACCCCCAAATATTTTACCTTATCAACAATTTCAAAATCTGTTAAGTTAACTAAAGCCTGTTTATCACCATTAGTCATATTTTTAGCTAATATTTTAGTCTTATTATTATTAATTTTAAAACCAGAAACACATCCATATTGTTGAATCAATTGTAATAATTTCACCACCGAGGAAACAGGTTGAGACAAAGTAACAACCAAGTCATCTGCAAAGGCTCTTAGTTTATATTCTTTTTTATTAATTTCTATTCCTTTTATTTCTTGAGACTCCCGAATTTTAATCAACAAAATTTCCAATGTTAAAACAAACAATAACGGGGATAACGGGCATCCCTGTCTTGTTCCCTTTTCTATTACAAAAGCCTCTGACAAACCCCCATTTACAATAATTTGAGCAGTCTGTTTTTGATATATGTTGGATAATACTTGTAATATATTTTGTCCGAAGTTCATCTCCTTAATTAAACACAACATAAACTGCCAATTCACTTGGTCAAAGGCTTTTTCAGCATCCAAAAATATCAGACCTGCAGGGACTTGGTTATTCTTTTCTAAATACTCTAGTAAGTTAATAATTTGTCTAACATTATTCTTCATGTACCTTCCAGTTATGAAACCCGATTGATCCCTGTGTATAAGCTGCTGCAAGATCCCCATAAGCCTGTTAGCTAAGATTTTTGCAAAAATTTTATAATCCACATTTAAAAGAGATATAGGCCTATAATTTTTAGGCAAAGTGAGATCCTGACTATCTTTTGGAATCAGAGATATAAATGCATTACGCCAGGATGGAGGGATTTCTAACCCCTGTAATAACTTATTAAACAGTTCACACAACGGTTGAATCATCTCTTCTACTAAAGTTTTATAATAAATAGATGTCAACCCGTCCGTACCCGGCGCTTTGCCCAATTTTAATTGTTTAATAGCTGTAACAATTTCTTCCTTAGTAATTAAACCGTTAATCTTTTATCCAGTCTCTTCTTAAAACAATGAACTACACTTTGAGGTTATTTGAACAGTTAAGTTTAACCAAAGTCAATTTTATTTATTTTATATATCATATTTAGAAACTGCCAATCTCTCTCATAGAGCGACTCTGGGCGGTATACAATTTAATCCCTTTTATAAGAGATTTTTTTCCCTAGTTTTATTTATTTATTTTAAAACGTATGTTGCCCTTCAAAATACAGTTTGTTCATGAGAAGCTGAAGAAATGAGTTAAACTTCTCATGAAATGAGTGGCTACAAAGATCTGATTAATAAATACATACATAAATAAATAATGGTTACAATCTAGTTCAATTCATTCTACCTTCCCTAAGTAATTATCTTCAGCTTTAAAACTATTTTTAAAATGTCTGTTCTAATGATTTCACCCCTTTCATGGATAAACCAACCCAATGGATCTGATTGTGTAGAAGTTGTCGACAAGTTTCATCACTGGTTGTACTGGTAACAACTAAGTCATCATCAGATGGCCCTTATATCAGCATGATAGAGATCACTTGTTCCAATGATCTAGTTATGGAGAAGGAGCAGAATCAAAGAGCTGGCAGCTTTCCACAGGAATAATAAGGGAAAGTTTGGGAATATGTTTCATAGCAAGTAGAATAACAACCAGATGATATTTTTTGTCCCAAAGATGCTTTTTCATGGGGCAACTGGACTTTCTTGTTTTCCTTCTTTCTTTGAAGACATTTCACTTCTCATCCAAAAAGTTTCTTCAGCTCTCTTCTTTAGAAGCTGAAGAAGCTTCTTGGAGGAGAAGCGAAACATCTTCAAAGAAAAACAAAGAAAGTCCAGTTGCCGTGTGAAAAGGCATCTTTGGGACAATTATAACCTGGATGACTTAGAATCTCCCTAGACAGATGATATCTTCTATATGGTAGTGGTAAAAAGGAATTTAGAGCTGACCTTGGGAATAGGAAAGGAATGAGCAAACTGTGAAAGGAAAAAAGTCATAGTCCAGAGATAGACGCAATGGTGAGAAAGAAACTCTAAAGAATCCTGTTTTGATGTTGTTTAGTATAAGATAGGACAGAGAGAAGCTTCGACAGCATTCAAGATTCAGTTATTCTACCTTCCTACAATAAATAACATTCAACAATAACAAACATTAGATCTGTTTCTTGAATTAACCTACTGCAAAGGGGTGTCAATGCCCATGCGTTGGCAGATGTGAGATATAAACTATAAATAAAAATTAATATATAAGAATAAACAAGCTGAGCTAAGCTTACCTCTATATCCAAAAAGAATTTCAATATCAGCAGGTCCATTGGTTTTTTTAAACTGCAGGGGAGTCACATCACTCCACACTTTCACAGCATTTGCTATGGCTCTGTCCACCTGGTCTTTTGGCATATCAGGGGTGTAGTTGTTAATCCTTTGAGCAATGGAGGAAAACACAGTACATATAATTAGGAAGTAGACTTTTCCTTTTTCCTTCTATCTCTTAGAAATCAAATAGAAATATAACTTACCTGTATGTCAATATATTTTTATTCCATTTTGGTCTTCCTGGAAATGTCTGATATTCCAAGACATCTGGAACTCCACACCTGGGCTGTTCCATTACTTTAATGGTTTCAGTATCTATCTTCCCAGTTATAGTCAAATGGAAGAACTTCTGCATTATTTTGATCCGTTCTTCTAAGGTTAGTTTTATTACTTTACGAATTTGTGGGAAAAAACGATCAAGGTAACCCTGCATAACCAAGGATGGGAGGAATTAGAACATTTATTGTATTACTAAACATCTCAAATAATTATATAAATACACCTGTGTATTGGTGACCATACTCTTTGTGTGTTTGACCATCCATTCATTCTTCAATCCACTTTTAAACATTCTTCTTCTTCTTGATAGATTTAGACTGCAATCAGTAGAGCAGAGATTATGGCATCAGTGAAGTAGGCAGAGCCAGGCTTTCTTAAGTGACAATCAGTGCCGTGAACAATTATGATCTTCCTTGCTTGTTTGTTTGCTTGACAAATGAATACACTTCATTATATTTCCCTCTCCAGCACACCCTAAAACTTGCCAGAAACTTGCTTGGTACATTCTTGTTCAAATGTGATGACATTGTTTCTGGGTCTTTTCAGGCCAAAACATATAGTTCAATGTTGCAGCTTCCCTAATCTGTTTTTGAAGTTAGGCTTTGATTTTGAGCAGATTCATTTGGAAGAAATTTTCCTGGATTCCAAATTGTTTAGGCTTTTAAAGGTGAGCAAGATAACTTCATATATTTTAGAGTTAAAAGTGGAGGAGGAGGAAGACACTATTAAGAATAGAATAAGCAGATAGCAGATTTTGATTAACCCTAGTAGATTGACAAAAGTTATTGATTTCAGTGCAGTACAGTAACAGAAGGACTGCTCTTCCCTTGGCATCATAAAACTGAAATGAAGCTAGAGATAGAGGATTATTTTTCTTCTTATAGGAACAACTTGTGAGTCACAGTCATTTCTGGGAGTTGAAACTCATTCCTGGACCCAGAATTGGATGTGCACAGTTTTCCTGAGGAAATAACAAACTAATTCAGGGGAGGTCAGAATGAATAATTATGTGGCATGGTTGCATGTTAAATAAAAAGTTCTTGAGCACAATTTATTTTATTTATTTATGTTTCTTATCAATTTGCAGTTTTGTCTATATTTTGCCTTTGCTCTGAAAACTCTTTATGTTGACAACAGCAATCTTTAGGAGCAGTTAAATTGAGAGATGTGACTGACTTGATTACACATGTCAATGGTCAGGCTGGACCACTTGAGCAAAGATTTTTCTTTCAAGTGCAGTGTACTTTGCAAACTGTATAGCTATGCAGTCAGAATCGAACAAACAATATGAATAAAAGAATATTTCAGGCAAACTGCAACTATGATCTGTAAAATCTTCTTAGACATGATGATCAATAATAATAGAATAGAATAGAATATAGAGTATAGTATAGTATAGTATAGTATAGTAGAGTAGAGTAGAGTAGAGTAGAGTAGAATAGAATAGAATAGAATAGAATAGAATAGAATAGAATAGAATAGAATAGAATAGAATAGAATAGAATAGAATACTTTACTGGCCAAGCGTGATAGGACACACAAGAAATTTGTCACCAGTGCACAAGCTCTCAGTGTACGTACAAACTACAAATGTGCAGTAAACATACAGTGTACATATGAACATAAGCTCTCGGTTACATATAAACAATAAAGTAATAAGTCATAATCTTAAATCATAACGTACAATCATAAAATACAAACAGCAAAGTGATGAATCATAAGATACCAATAGGAGAAAGTAATAGGAAGATGAGAAGATGAATAGTAATACACCCCTATTACATGGGTAAATATCCTATGATCTAGTGATGAATAAGAAAAGTATAAATCATAGAAATTTAGAATATAAATAGTTGCACCCTAGGACAAGTGAAAATTATTTTTAGTTATTAGTTTGTCTCCCCTTTTTAAATTCCTCATAATTTGTCCCTGCAGAATTGGGAATGCTACAGAATAGAAACAAAGATTGAAGATATGCATATAAATGATGGAGCATATGCATATAAAATATGCAAGTGCATTTGCATAAAATTGATTCTTGGCAGAAATTGAAATTTAGAAATCAAACAATAACTTTTATTTTGGTATCACATGAGCAAAGCAAAAACATGGCCCTTTGTTACAACCTCCTTGCATGCCTACGTCATTGTTTAGAGGAGTGAGCAGGCATTTTTTTCCTCCTGAGATCCTGATGTTTGGTGCTATCTAGGAAGAAGCTCCACACTTTCCTTAACTGGAGAGTTTGTTTTATTAAAAAAGGAAACCAAAAACAAGAAAGAAAGAACAAAGGAAGCAGAAAGAAAAATTGTAACCAGCCTGCCTTCCATAGACCTGAATATTGTGTGGGTCAGAAGGAGGGCTGAGAAGGTATCTGCAGACTTCTCACATCCTGGACACAAACTGTTTCAATTCTTCCCCTTGGGATGGCGCTATAGGATGTTGCATGCCAAAACAATTAGACACAGGGACAGTTTTTCCCCTTGTGCCATCGTTCTGCTGAACACCTAATTGTCACAGTGCTGTCTAATGTCTATGTGTATTGACCCATGTAGTTTGGCTGCATTATTATTATTATCTTCTTTATGCCCCTCTCTTACTGGTATTATTATTATAATTATTATTCTGTTGCTTTGCATGTACACTGAGAGCTTTTGTACCACAGACAAATTCCTTGTGTGTCTAATCACACTTTGCCAAATAGAGCATTCATTCATTCATTCATTCATTCATTCATTCATTCATTCATTCATTCATTCATTCAAGCAGAGATGTGGGAAACTCAGTCAAACAGGCACTTCAGCAGTATTGTATTCTTCAGACAGCTAGAGAAAACCATAATTTTTGGAGCCGCAAGACCTCTGAGAATCTGAGCTGAGAGACCTGGAGGAAAAGAGCTCCACCAGAGTTTGCAAAAATAAGCAAGCAAACTTCCTATAGCAGTGATGCTGAAACTTTTAGAGACATGACTTGCCCTCACTCTGGACCCCGCCCCACCCTCTGCCACACCATCCACCCCGCCCGCAGTGCCACCCACCACCTCCATGGCCTGCTGCACATCACCCAGGCGGCCCAGCAGCGCCATACTGTCCACGCCTTTAACCCACATCCCACAGCATCAACTGCATGCAATGGGGCGCAAGGGCGGAGTCTTGTCCCAGCTGCCCGGCTGCTATGTCCTTGGCTGCACTGCTCCACATGGGCTGCAACTGGGGGTGATTCTCCTCTGGGGAGGCTGCTGGTGAGGAGGAGGCTGTGGGGGGAGACTGGGACAATGGCGCGGGTACCCACAGAGAGGGCTCTGACTGCCGCCTCTGGCATGCATGCCATAGGTTCTCCACCACTGCTCTATGAGTTCATAGTGACCTAACCCTAACTCTAAGTGGGATTTTCCTCCAATGGATTTTCCCATGTATTTTACCAGGAAACATAGATAGGGCATGCTGGAAAAGTCAGTGCCTCCTAACCATACCCAAGCACTCTGAATTTATTGGCAATATCCATTTTACTCTATGAATTCATGGTGACCTAACCCTAAACCTATGTGGAATTTTCCTCCAATGGGATTTTCCCATATATTTTACCAGGAAACATGGATAGGGCAGTCTAGAAAAGTCAATAGCTCCTAACCATACCCAAGCACTCCAAATTTGTTGGCAATGTCCATTCTGCTCTATGAGTTCATGGTGACCTAACCCTAACCCTACGTGGAATTTTCATCCAATGGGATTTTCTTATATATTTTACCAGGAAACATAGATAGGGCAGCCTAAAAAAGTCAGTGCCTTCCTAACCGTACCCAAGCACTTCAAATTTGTTGGCAATGTCAATTTTGCTTTGTGACATTGATGGTGATCCTTTTAGAGACCGATTGCTCAAAAAATGGACCTACCCCTGCTCCGCCTCATGCCCTACCCTCCCACCCCGCTTGAAAGGCCACCCACCAACTCCACGGCCCACCGCAGATCATCCAGGTGGCCCAGCTGCACCACGGTGTACACGCCTTCTGCCTCTGCTCTGCAGCATCAACTGCGTGCACAGAGCACCAGGGCGGAGTCTTGTCCCCTTTGCCCACTGCTATGTCGTTGGCTGCAATATTCCGCGTGGGCCTTGCTCAGGGGTGACTTTCCTCTGGGGTGGCTGCTGGTGAAGAGGCGGCTGCGGAGGGAGGCAGGGCTGGGGCGACAGCGCCCATGCCCACAGAGAAGACATTGAGTGCCCCCTCTGGCACGTGTAACATACTGTAGGTTCGCCACCACTGTCCTATTTTGCAAACCAGCTCCAGAAACAGAGGACTATGAGTGCTGGGGGCAATAGAAAAGCCCATTCACAAGTCTATAAAGAAGAGAAAAGGGTTTTCGCATGCAAATTGACTGAGTCTGGTTACAATCTCAAGGAAAGTTTTAAAGAAAAAATAGCTAAGAAAAGATAGTGCTAACATTGGAATAGGAACATAGAAAGACAATACCAAAGCAGAAATGTATGGATTAAAAAATAGAAATAGAATAGTTGTAGACTTAGAGTATTAGGAAGAAGCTTCTTGGATGAGAAGCGAAATGTCTTGAAAGAAAAACAAGAAAGTCCAGTTGCCTCTTGAAAAAGCATCTTTGGGATAGAGTAAGATAGTTTAATTTTATACAATAAAACAATTTAGTGTGGGAAAAACTAATAGTCTCTGTATCTCTATTGTTATGAAGAAAAACCCTAACCACAAGCAAGATGTGAAAGAATAATTTTTTAGCTCATTGCACAGCATGCTAATCCCTGCATGCAGATGTAGTTTAGGATAGAATGTACTGCTTTCTTTTTCTTGCATAGTTCTTGCATATATTGACTGCACCTGTAAAAGGAATCACGCATCATTGCACTCTCAATAAACTGCATTTATCCCATGATATATTCGCAAAATGGAACCCTTTCTCAGTGGCAGAGCAATTCTATGGCATCAGAGATCACGACCAGCGTGGTTACATACCTCTATGAATTTCAGGTCCTTGGTATAGGATAGTGAAGACTGGGGATTGAGTAGTGGAACGGCAGTGCTGCATGGCCACAGCATCAAAGCACTCAAGATCATCAAGTGGTTCATGCTAGAGCTTCCAAACTAGCTTTAATGAAGCAAGTCTTTAGCCCTCAATGTCTTGCAGCCCAAGAACACCGGCTTTTATAAGTCTGAGTGAACAAATGACTGTTGTAAGATCCCAGGTGACTCATTTTATGGCATTTGTCTGCTTTTTTCTGAAATATTTTTGTTCAAGTGTCAGAATTTCAAAATATTATCGGGAAACACAGCTTGATAGCTTTTGTTTCTTCCTTGTTGACATTTCCACTGATGTATACGTGCAAGAGGTACTTTATTTCTCTCCCCCTTTTCAATTTTTTTCTTTAATCCCCTAAACCACAGGCTAAAGGGAAGTTGACTTTTCAAAATGCAGTCCAACGTAATTGGGAATGACCTAATATTGTTTGACTTACCCAATCTTATTTTTTGTTTTGCTTGCCACCAAGACTTAGCATTTTGATATGTTTATTTTATATATTTTTGAAATTATTCTCTTTTTCCACATTTTGGTTTTGTGGGTCTTATCTAATTTTAGGATGGGATTGTTAACTGCCCAGAGTTTTTGGGATTAAACAGCATGCAAATGAAAGTGAACAATCAAACCGAGTATTATTTTCTATGAAGACTTGCAGAGAGCTTGTATGCAGAGGAATGAAAAGTGGAAGAGCCCTTCACAGATTATGCTTCTGATTTAAGGGTGCGAAGAGTTATAGTTTGTAAAAGTAGCCATGGTGGATGACCTATAACACTGTTGAAAATTGTCAGAATTTTCTGTTGAAAACTGAATTTTCTGTCGAACAGAATTTACTGTTGAAAAGTGTTAGAAGTCTATGTCCTTAGCTATATTTACATTTCCACTTTTTAAAACTATATGACTTCAGTTGCTTTCTCTGGTAGCATATGAAACTTTATGTACCTGGAGGATCTTTAGCCCTTCCATCATTTGGATGAATATTGCAAGACCTCAACTGAAGAAAGAATGGGACCAAGCCAACAGTCCTGCAGCTTCCTGTGCAATACTGTCAAGCATTCAGCTGTTCTCTCCTCTGTGGGACTTTGCAAAACAGGTTACATAGAGAGATGTGTAGCCATTTGTGGAGTGTTATCCTATTATGCATTCTTTTTAGACATCTCAGAATGAACAATCTTCAGACCTCAAACTACCAAAATTTTATCTCATTCACAACTCACTCGCATCTAGTTATACATTCATATAATTCATCGGAGATGCTAGATTCCCATCTTCTTTTTCTTCTGTCTTATCTTTTTTTTTTTTAAAAAAAGAGTGGAACCCTTTCCCCATTACAGGCAGTCCACAACGTACGACCACAATTAAGCCCCAAATTTATGTTACTAATGAGACAATTGTTAAGTGAATTTTGCCTCATTTTACAACCTTTCTTGCCACAGTTATTAAGTGAGCCCCTCACAGTTGTTAAGTTTGTAACACACTTGTTAAATGAATCTGGCTTCTCCATTGACTTTGCTTGTCAGAAGGTTGCACAAGGTGAACACATGACCCTCGGACACTGCAACTGTTATAAGTATAAACCAATTGCCAAGTGTCCAAATTTTGATCACACACCATGGTGATGCTGCAAAGGTCATAAGTATGAAAAATGTCCGTAAGTCTTTTTTTTCAGTGCCGTTGCAACTTTGAATGGTCACTAAATGAACAGTTGCAAATCGAGGACTACATTTTGTGATCTAGTGATTTATGTTGTAATCTAGTGAAAGAACAATTAGCCAGTGGAACAGCTTGGCTCCAGAAGTTGTGGGTGCATCATCACTGGAGATGTTTAAGAAGAGACTGCACAGCCAGTTTTCTGAAATGGCATAGGGTCTCCTGCTTGAGCAGGGGGTTGGACTAGAAAACCTCCAAGGTCCCTTCCAGCTCTATTCTGATTGATTGATTATATAGTAAATACATATAATGCCTTCACATGATAGCCTGATTCCACAACCTGCTAACAAGAGCTGAATCCGTCCCATGTGCTGAATCATAAATGATTCTATCATGTTTTAGTCTAGTCTAGTATGTTGTGCAAAACTAGTCAATAAGATAAAAAGGAGAAACAATAAGTTAGAAAGGAGAAACCCATCTCATATTAAGATAACTTTTAGAATATTTTGGCTGACATAAAGAAGCTAAAGTTAGATATGAATCAAGACAGGGCTTTGTTCAAATCACTTTCAGACCCGCCCCTGTTTCAGAACAAGCTCATGACTGAGATAAAGTCAAAGAGTGACTCTGCCTTTGGTGCAGAAACCGTCTTGTGAGAACCAGACTATTTTGCCTACTCACCACATCATAGAATGTGTGCAAGAACTTGGAAAATCCCTTTGTTTATGAGGAAGTTTTGGTGGGCAAAGTTACTTGAAAATGATTAACAAATTGCCATCCAGCAACACCTGTTTTTGAAAGGAAAATATTAATCATTAAAGCTGAAAATATTAATGATCACAGATTGTCACTGGCATACCATTTAACATCTTAAAGAGGATGCTGGATTTAGGCAGAATGAAATTTGGTGCAGATCTTTCAGGTGGACAAAAAAAGAAAAAAGAAGCCTCATGTTGATGTTCAGACTTCCACAATTCAGTGGTCCCTGGATATGTTGCCTGATGAATTTGAAAAGGGCCAGTTTGGTGAGCCTTAAATTAGTCTAAGTCTGGATCTAACAATTTGATGTCTTAATATAACCATAATACTGAATTACGCTGTTTTCTGAACTCATACAAAATACAAGTAGTTTGTTTAGGGACTGTTCAAAGCTGCAACGGTACTGAAAAAAAATGACTTATGACTGTTTTTCACACTTACGACTGTTGTGCATTCCCATGGTCATGTGATCAAAATTCAGATGCCTGGTAACTTTCATATTTATGTCCTGGGGTCATGTGATTTTTTTGCAACCTTCTGATAAGCAAAGTCAATGGGGAAGCCGGATTCACTTAACAACCATGTTACTATCTTAACAACTGCAACGATTTACTTAACAACTGTGGCAAGAAAAATTGTAAAATGGAGCAAAACTCACCTAACAAATGTCTCATTTAACAACAAAAATTTTGGGCTCAGTTGTGGCTGTAAGTTGAGGAATACCTGTGTTGAACCCTAAATAAATCAGAGGGGATTCACACCAGTTAAACATGCAACCGAAACCACCTAAGTGTAAAATTTATTTATGTTGTGTTGTGCATGTTGTAATGGTAGGTCAGAAAGACCTTGAGAAATGGGGGAGAGAAATAATGCCTAGGAAGTGATCAGATAAGAGAAGGTTCAGCCCGCAGCTGCATAATAGGTAGAGAAAGAGGCTTAGAGGGGATTCTCCCTAACTTCTCAGGCTATAACAGAACCTGGGAGATTTGTACTTTCAGACTTGCAGGATGTTGTTAATGTAGACTTACAATCAAATAGAAGTAGCTCATATAGTGTGTTTCCTGTTTGGTATTTGTGGGAAGGCTGACATGTTGTGCGAAGCTATCTTTAGCCTCTAATAGACAATTTTAGCACAATGTTTAGTCATTATATACAATTCTATTTTTAAAATACTTTAGTCATGATGTATTCTTGCTTTTACATTGAAGAGATCATGTTATAGTTTTTACACTTCGCATCGTCCAAATGTGTGACTTTCATCACGTGCCCCATTGGTCATAAGCAGTGAAATGATTTTAAACTGCAGTGCATCTAGATTTTAGAGCAAAGTGCAATCATTCATTTCAATCCTAATGCTCCATCTCTTTCACAAACAGTATTGAGGTAACTTGCAAATAAAGCACTAAAACTTTATAAAAATAACAAACAGGAATTGAATATCTGATATGAGAAAATGTAGACTGCTGAATGTTCAGGCTTCTCTGTGAAGCTGTGTTAGATGGAGAGAGGCAGCAATGCTTGAAGCACAAAGAGAGTTTGATTCAGAATAAAAGAATTGGAAGGGACCATGGACATCTTCTAGTTCAACCCCTTGCGTAAGCAGGAAGCCCTATATCATTTCAGACAAATTGTCCAATCTCTTCTTAAAAACCTCCAGGGTTGGCATATTCACAACTTTGGGAGGCAAGTTGTTCCACTGATTAATTGTTCTAATTGACAGAAAATTTCTCCTTAGTTCAAGGTTACCCTTTTCCATGATTAGTTTTTATCCATTGCTTCTTGTCCTGCCTTCAGGTGCTTTAGAGAATAGCTTGACTCCCTCTTCTTTGTGGCAACCCCTGAGATATTGGAACACTGCTATCGTGTCACCCCAGTCTTTCTCTTCATTAAACTAGACCTACCCAATTCCTGCAACCATTCTTCATATGTTTTAGCCTTCATTCCCCTATCACCAGTCCTTCATCACCAATTATTATTATTATTATCATTTTTGTCCATCTACTGAGTCCTTCCCAAGGACCTGGGATAGGCAGATATTGTTCTTTGATGGTGTTAAAGGTATTTTTATTTTTACAAATTTTATTTATAATACAGTTAAAAACAAACAAACATTGGATTTAATGTGACATTCCAGTATATACATTCTTATCAGATTATTCCACTTTTTACAATCAATTCTTCATCTCTACATATACATCTAAGTTTTATATACAATACTTGTTCTAAAATAACATATATTTCTATCTTAACATTCATCTTTAATCCCGACCAACCTCTTCAAATTCTTCCAGGGATAAAATTTATCCCAGGTTTCATAATAAACTGATCCACATTTGTCTTTTAATATCATTGTGAGCCTGTCCATTTCCGCACACGCTAATATTTTTTGTATTAACTCTTCCTCTGTGGGAATTTCCATTTTTGTGCAAAGGCAAGCCTAGCTGCAGTCAAGATGTGTAGCAGCAGGTAGATTGTTCCCTTGTCGTATTTTTCTGCCGTTATTCCCAACAAGAAATACTTTTAACTCTAAGTCTAGTGTTAATATATCTCTCAACCAGTTTCATGTCCTGTTCCAATACTCACGAGTCTTTGGGCATTCCCACCACATATGGTAGTATGAACCTATTGCTTTTTTACATTTCCAGCATAGGGGTGAGATGTTTGGACCCATTTTGGCTAGCCTTACGGGTGGGAAATGCCATCTATAAAATGATGGTGTTAAAGGTATTGTTGAGTCCGTGGTGGGAAAACAGACACGAGAAGCAGCTGGAGTTCTCAGTTTCATTTATTCAGCGTTCAGCTTACAGGAAGATGGCTTCAGCCTCGCCCAAACGCCTCGCAGCCTCTTATATAGGCAACTCCCGGGTAAATGGGTTACTTTTCCCGCGCCAGCACCCGCGCATGCGCACGGCGCTGGCGACAGCCTGTCTGGTCCCGGGCAGCTTTGCACCTGCCCGGGACTGCCTGCAAACGCCCGAGCCGTTTGCAAGGCTCGGGACATAACACCCCTTTCCCCCGGGCTAAAACTACTACCAACATACAACATTTATTTTATATGACATTTTGCTCCCCAGTGCTCCCACTGATTACTGGCTTTTGCCTTGCCAGCAATGTTATGTAATCTTCTAGATACTTAGGAGATTTCTTTGCTCTCTGTGACCTTCTTAGCTCTGGGTTACTGGCATAAGTCCCCTGACTGGAGGGAGGCGTGAGCCTGTTCTCTCTATTGTGCCCTGGTGTCTTCCAAGGACTGTGCCCCGATGCCTGGCCTGCTTGCTTGCCCACCGGGCTCGTCAGGCCAGGGCTTCTGTTACTTTGTGACCTGGTTGACCTACCTAGCTGTAGACCCTCAGGCCCCTTGAAGTGATAGCCGCTGCTGGGCGTCTCTGTAGAACCTCCTAGGTCAGTCCAAGACCTGTCAGGAGGCTGTCCATTCCCTGAACCCCATTCTGTGTTCGGGCTCGTGTGGGTTTCTGTACTTTCCCAAAACTCAGGTGTTCCCTGATTTGTGCTAGGGTTGTTGTAGTCGGGACTTGGTTCCTCGACTAGCTCTGTGTATGTTTGACCCCCTGTAGGATTTGGGGTAAGGTCAGGCCAACCTTGGGAATTGTGTGCCAGCTCTCTTGCGGGGAATGATTTGTTGGGATGCCCCCGGGTATCCTCCGTTGCTGGAGTGCTGTGTGATGTGTGTGGAAAGTGAGTATGCCCCCGGGGTGACTCCCTGGCTGGAGTAGGCGTGAGTGCCTGTTGTGTGGGTAAGCTCCATGACTTTCTTTTCGGAGCAATTGCAGAACCTTGGGACGGGCCGTTTGTGGCTCCCTCAGTGGAGATGGGCAGTAGCTCTTGCCCTTCCCTTTGCTCCAAAGGGTCCCCCTCCCCCCCTGGAAAAGACCCAGGAGTCTCAGCAGAAAAGTCTCGCCTAGAGCGAAGTTGGTCGATGTGCCGACGCAGGACACGACCGTTGTCCAGGGCAACCTCGTAGGAGAGAGGACCTGTGATCCTGGACACAGAAGCGGGGACCCATGTATGACCAGGCCCGTAATTGCGAGCCCAAACCGGGGCACCCACAAGTAGTTGTCTAGGTGCCCTAGGATGTGAGGTAGATGAAGGCAGTCTGTCCGGATGCAACCGGTCAAGTCTAGTAGTAAGTTGGCGCCCCCAACGAAGTTCAGCTGGACTTCTCCCTGTAGAAGTGGACAGTGTGGTGCGATAAGAAAGGAGAAAGTCAGCCAACCTGTGATGCCAGTCCCCGTAGGTGAGTCTCTTCAAGGCGTCCTTTGCGATGCGCACCATGCGTTCAGCCATACCGTTGGTGGACGGGTGAAAAGGCGCAGACGTGGCATGACGAATCAGGTTTGCCTGTAAGAAAGCTTGGAATTCGGAGGAGGTGAATTGAGGGCCGTTGTCGGACACAATGACATCTGGCAGCCCGTGTGCAGCAAAAATCCCCCTCAGTACCTGAATAGTCTTTGCAGTGGTGGTGGATGAGACAGGCACAACCTCAAGCCATTTTGAATGGCTGTCAACAAGGACCAAGAAGAACTGGCCCTGAAAGGGCCCAGCGTAGTCAATGTGCACCCTAGACCATGGGGACTGTGTTTCCTCCCATCTATGCACAGGAGCTTGGGGCATCTCTGGGCGAGATCGTTGGCACAGGTGGCATGCGTGTACCTTAGCCTCAATATCTTTATCTAAAGCAGGCCACCACAAGTGGCTGCGTGCAAGAGCCTTCATACGAACAATGCCAGGATGACCCTCGTGGAGGGATTCTAAGACCCTAGTCCTCATTGAGGTGGGAATGACAACTCTGTTTCCCCAAAGCAGACAACCCTGAGAAAGGGACAGTTCGTTTCTTTTGGACCAGAAACTCTGAAACTCAGGACTAGGGCAGTGCTCAGGCCACCCGGACAGGACCCAGGAGCGGACACGTGAAAGTGTGTGATCTGTACCTGTTTCAGCGGTAACATCCCTGGCACTAAGAGGGAGCTCGGGCAAGGCTTGGATTGATAGAATGTTGACAGCTGGCGCGGGGTCAGCTTCTACTACTGGCAGAGGCAATCTACTGAGGCCATCAGCATGGCCCATTTCTTTCCCAGGCTTGTGGAGTAATGAAAAATCATATGCAGACAAGAAAATAGACCACCTAAGCATTCTAGGGGAAATGATGTGGGGAGTCTGCTTACGTGTGGTAAACAGTCCCAGCAGAGGCTTATGGTCAGTGAAGACCGTGAAATGCCTGCCATATAGAAAATCGTGGAATTTTTTA